AAAAAAAAAAAAAAAAAAAAAAAAGGGCAATACACATGTACTTAGCTGATGTCTATGCAAAAATTTCTGATACCCCCCCTGGTGTGGCTCTTCCCCAGCGCCTGACTCTCCAAAGTCTGATAACATACAATCGTGAAGTGCTCGCAAAATTGCCTGCACGCTGCCAAGAACAATGGCCGCAAAAAAAATGTGTCACGGCTTGGAAGCTTTACTTAAATTTCCCATGGAGGATCCTTGCTTAACGGCCTCATTTTCTGCCATGTTCGAAATTGATGCAACCTCAGCTATGCACAAATTTTAAATTGTCACAAAAGGGGGAAAAAAATATATTCCTTCACAGAATTGTACATAGATTGGGGGCAATAGCTTAAGCTACAAAGTTTAACCGATGCGCTAAAATTGTTTTTCTTTATTTTTTCCCTTTTCATGCTTTACCCGCTTCACACATATTTATGCTTAACACTTTTTCGAGTTGTTAATATTGTGTGACCCTCACCTTTACGGGATGCTACATCTTGTTTTTTTCACTTTTTTGCTGCCCACCGGAGGGGAAGGAAAAAAAAAAAAAAAAAAAAAAATGCCATAATTATAAAACACCGTGCACTATTGCACCATGACACAACACACCAAACTCAGAGCAGGACCCAATGTGCGCTGCAGCAAGCTTGTCCGCTGCATTTTCTTGTTCTTTTTGCACAAATAAAATTGGGACCAAGCTGAATTCCCATTGTTCATTCGCCTCCATACAGTCGATCATTTTAAAAGCGCCGGAGCTGTTCTCTTTTCAAATAGTAAGGGCCATAAGTGCTCACAATACAAAGTGATCTCGCCTTTTACCATTCATTCAGCTGGATATGCATGCCGCGCTTGTTTTAAGGGGTACATTGAAATTAGCGAAAAAGGTCCATTCTGCAACCATGCCCAAGTCTATGTTGCCGAGCAACGTCTAGCTTTGTGTCCGCTTGCAATTCTTGCGCGAACTGTTCATTTGCTCAATTGCTCATTTGCACATTTGCTCATTCATTGAATCAGAGTTATATTAAAATCAAATGGTGTTGAGTTGGTGAAAGGATGAACGTATTAAAAAATGAAAAGTGCAACGCGGACGCGGCAAAAGGGGAAAAAAAAAAAAAAAAAGATAACACGCAAGCAACAAATTTTAACTGATGAGGTAATGACGGTCCGAGTTCTGGCAGAGAAAGTGTTAACTATGTGCATACGCGCACAGCACAGTCCGTTTTCACAGTGTCGGAGTGATATCTCCACGCAGGTGCGCGCTATAACTGCGCAGACGTATATTGAGCATGGATATATGCATGTGTGTGCCTTCTATGTTTCATGTGCACGTACATAACAGCCCGTGTACACCTCCCCTCCCCTTCATGACTGCGTAAAAATGAGTATCATTGGAGGCCACAGGATGGGAGGGGACACGCGCGGGCGGGAAGTGAGAAAAACAAAAAAAAAAGAAAGAAACGAATCGGGTGTGCAGATGGACGGATCATCAATGGACAGGTGGGCGAAAAATTACCAAAAAATGAAAACCCGCGTAAGCATGGCTCGGGATAAGGCAAATGTGGAGCACACGCATCAGCGAGCGTGAACCGAGTAGTTGCTATGTCGCAGGACTGATCGCGGGACGGTGTTGCGCACTAAGAAATATCGCACGTTGTTTTATTATTTTACTTTATCCCCCCTTCCTACTGCAACATCTGCTGCGTCTACTCTATATGACCTGCGCACGCAACATATCCCTACTGCTGTTGCAAGAGTTTCTTCTCCTGCTTTTCGATATTCTCAATGCTCTTCTTCTCCGACTGCAACTGGTCCATTATGCTAATTTCTTTGTCTCCGTTCAACTCGTTCTGTGAAGCGTACTCCTCCAATTTTTGCGAAAACTGATCGTACAGCGCATTTATAACTGGCGTGGCTACACTCCTTGCATCCTCGTCCAGATTCTTGGTCACCTCTAATGTCTTTTTTCTCCACAAGCTCAGATGCTTTCGAATGAACTTAATCGCTATTGGGATGACCAAACCAGTCATCATCACTTTTAAAAAGTGCTTCAGCTTATGTTTGTGCTTTTTGTACAAATCGGTTAGTTTTGTCTTAATTTTGGATCCCAGCTTTTTTAAACCTGTTCCAAATTTGCTAGCGTGGAATCTTTCTTTCAATTTTCTGATAAACTGGTCTTCGATCATTGCCATGTTATGGCCTTTATATGCGTCCGTGTCGAAGAGCTCAGCATTGTTCTGCGAAGGAAGGGGGTAAAGGTGTGAGGTGAAGATAAAGCGGCCATTGTTATGAGGCAGTTATTTAGACGAAGCGGATTTCAGTGAGGCCAACAGTGGGGTATACAAGCATTCCACACAAGCACATAACAGCAGCACGTACACACATAATTGCCCAGCACAACTTGATCTTTTCCTACCTCCAGCAGAATCATCATGTTCTCCGCTCCTGCATTACTTGATATATCATTCTCCAATCTGTCGACAATTCTTGTAGACACGACATCTACGAATGAGTCTAACTGATTTTTCCATAGCGATCCCACTTTGTTCGAAAGGTGGTTGCCAACTGTAAGAAGGGGAAGGGGACAGAGGATTAAAAGTGAAGGATAATTCGAACAAATCGAAATGAATTTCATTTGTCCTCCGTCCAGTTGGCTTAAGTTGGAAGTATGTATATGTGCGGGGGATGTAGCATGTTTGCTCGGAAGCTCATACAAATGAGGTGACACACTTTCACGCCCTCGAGCACACCCTTGAGTACACCCGATAGCACATCCAATCATACACACGCTTACGTTCGACGTATGAGACTGGGTTGAGGCTCTTAGAATTGAGCTGAATAGCCCGCAGCTGCAGAGCCAAGGCCACGATGAGACCGACGTAACACACAAATGATTTCATGTTGGGAGACACACACAAGAGGGGAGTTGAAAACGATGTTAAAGAAAAGGTGGAAGTGAATTTTAAAACCGAGGGCAAGGCGTTTAAAATGTAACCCTGTCAATGTGGTTGGGAAAAAAGCGTAGGCTTAAATGGCAAAGCATAAATTGTAATGTATAAGATGAGACATCGGTTGAAGCATCGGTTAAAAGCATATGTTGTGAATGAACTGCAAATGCGGCGAATTTGGTAAGTTATCATATCAAGTGAAGAAAAATCGAAACACTAAATCGGTGAAAGTGAATGTCCACAAGAAGTTTACATGATTATATAAATGTGTGCAAGTGCAAAAAAGAAAAGAAAAATTAAATGCATAACAAATAATGTTAATTGCTTCTATGTTTTCAGCACAAAAAATAAGGTGAAAAAGAAAAAAAAGACACTTTCGTTCCTCATGAAAAATGAAATTATATCAAATCAAATCAAAAAAGAGTGAAAAGAGCAAAACAAACTGATGTGTGTTTAATTATGTTGAAACGTAATGAAAAGGAATCAAAAAAAAAAAAAATCAAAAGAAACCAAGGTAAATGAAATCGTGAGGACTCAATTCATCATTTTTGAGCTAACATGTTTTTTTTTTTTTTTTTTTTTTTCCCAAATAGCCATTGTATTAATGAGTGGAATTCCCTATTGCCGTTGATTATATGCGTCTACATGCACACATTATTTTAGCTAGCTACTTAATAATATTGCTTAAAAAAAAAAAAAAAAGTAAATAAAGAACGCTGTTGTTTTTTAAATGCAGGGGTGAAAAGATGATCCTTAAAATTAATTAAAAGTTCATTACGTTTATAAACGCCATTATGCTGCTAATCACACAGGGCTTTTTTTTTTTTTTTTTTTTTTTTTTTTTGCATGTTCCATTTTAGCTCATTGCCTTAAAATTACCTTTGAAAATATGAACAGGACAGACATAAAAATGGGCTTACATATCTGTCTTTTTGGCTACTTCGAATGACCTTAATTTTTGCGCCAAAAAAAAGTGGTACATCACATTTTCTACATGCTTGTCCCTGTGTGTACCCTCTGCATGTGTTGGCTTATTTGTCCGAATTTGACTTAAAACGAATCATTTTGACCTTGTTAGTAGTGTAACTTTTTCTTTTTTTTAATTTTTCCAATTGGAATTGAGTCATACTGCGCTCACACTGTGTGTAGTTCACCACGCGAATTTGAACACTTATAATTTAAAAAAAAAAAAAAAATCCCGATTTTGTCATTTTGGCTAATTGTGGCGGGAAATTATTCAAGCTCGAAGTGGAAAATAAAAAAAAAAAATAATAATAATAATAAATAGTCACGTAAATGCAACATACGGCATGTGCGCGTGTTCACCGTTTGGGAAATATTTTAAAACGGTTAATAAGATTTTTTCTAATTTGGCAAACAGCCTGAACAGGCAATAAAAAAAAAAAAATATATATATATATATATATATTTTTCACTTCTAATCGGTGTATGCACAGAAATAGCTGTTTTTTTTTTTTTATTATTATTTGGGGGTGTACAAATTTTAGCCCATTCAACTGTTCAGCTGTTACGTCTCAAAGGAACAGCAAGCTCCGCGTCCCTACCCCGCGGAAACCTGTTATGTCTTAAAAGTTTCCCATCAAATGTCTCAATCACAATGGTTATTTTAAAAGAAAGGTACACAGTTGTAGGTCTCGCCCTACATACAAAACGTGTTTCTCTCCTGTATGTTATTTCTCCCTTTCAATTAAAAAAAAAAAAAAAATCCTTCAGACAGACACTAAAAGTGGCATACATGTGACATATTTTATTAGCAATTCCCGCAACACGACGGGTAGCTGCGCTTTTAATTTAGTTGTTTTGCTTTGTCCGCCAACTTGCGCCAACGCATGTGGCTTTATCCCAATCGCGCTTATTCCAGCTCACCGCCTTCCCCTCCACTGATCTTACACACCGCGCCACCACAACTGTCACATTAAACAAAAGAAAAATTCTCAAATGATGAAACGCTCATCATTTCTACGCACATTTTGAACTTGGGAAAACAATTTCATATGAAAGCCAGACGATTACGAACGTCCGCGGCCCAGCGACTCTTCAACCATATTTCATACCTCCCCCCATTGTGAATTCAACAAAATCGAGTATTTCCCGTGAGAATACAACATTACACCTTAACTCTTTTAGCTCGTATAATTTTTTGGCGTGAAGTTTATATTTGTATTTCTGAAGTAGTGACAAATTTTTTTTTTTTTTTATTTACATGGATATGTACATATGTATGTGTAAATATATACGCATATACAAATATACGCATACATATGTGTACATATATACGTGTAAAGATACATATTTACATATATACATTTTTTCATATTCATTCATGTATACACATTGGCGTCAAAAAAAATGTTCTCAGCATGTCCACATAAAATTATGCGTAAGCAAATCTCCAAACGTAAAAATGTTCATATGCATATCGCTACTGTATAATGTGTGCAAAATTTTTTAATACGCCAGAGAAAACATAATAATTAAAAAAAAAAAAAAAAAAAAAAAAAAATACTACATAATAATTAAAAAAAAAAAAAAAAAAAAAAAAAAAAAAAAAAAAAAAAAAACAAAAAAAAAAAAAAAAAAAAAAAAAAAAAAAAAAAAAAAAAAAAAAAAAAAAAATACTGACGAAAGTGCCATTTTGTCCTTTTTGCGCGTTTAATGCATTGGAAAATTCGTTTTCCGCGGATCCTAAATAATAGCTTTACTTTGCCATTTGACCATATTGTTATTTTCCGCCCCCAGTTTACTGTTTCCCTTGTTGTTGAATCCCACTTGCCGCTTCCCATTTAACGTTCCTTCACTTTCCGGGCCAACTTATCACATTTATGCAAAGATAAAAAAAAAAAAAGAAACGCAGGAGGGAAATAAAAATGCCTACTATAGGAGAAAAGAAGTATAGAGACAACACGAGCACTTTCATAGACGGTACTATTCACATGTTTACGATAATAAAAGATTAGCAAATGCTGTGACATGGCGAATTCGATGCCTGCTCATCCCCCCGTTACCTCACAAAATTACAGCACCATATAATATATAGAGGGGGGAGACGTACAAAAATGTCGCCTTGTTAAAACAGGAGCATAAATTGTGGATGTCATATGGTCTATCATCACATTCGCATTGTGAAGCAATTCCCCGGCTCGATACTCATGCGACCGTTCCCACCCCCTTCACAGACACAAGAAATTTCAAAAGAAAATCGATTGACGAGCACGATGAATGTTCTTTTTTTGAAGATTTACTCTACCTAAATAAAGAGAGAGAAGATTCTAAAAATGCGCAAAACGATAATTTATTTGTTAATGTAGAACTTGGTTCAACTCGAACCAGCGCCATAGGTCTCAACGCAGTGAAGAATACCAGCTATGCGGAGAGTAATATAAAAGAGTCGAGCAGTGCTAACAATTACCATAATTGTGGCACCCCCGGTGAACTTAGCCTAGAGTCCCCCCTGAACGAAATTGTAAGTTTGTCGGGTTACTCCGTTGTTAGCTTGTCCGCTCGTCTATTCGTTTTTTTTATTTGTTTTCGTTCCTTTTCCTTCTTTTTTGCCAAATCTATTCTGTTACCTTCCCCTTTGTAACGCCCCGTTACGTCGCCTTTTCACATCTAAGGGAAGTGTCTGCCCGCTTGTCCCCTTTTCTGTGCACAAAGGTTTCCGTGTAAGGGGTGAACGTCTGATACAGCAGCCCCCACAAGGATTTCTGCTTCTCACGGTGTAAGCTTATTCCTTTCACTGACGCCTTTGCTATACACTCCCCCCCCTGCAGCAAAGGTACCAGCTGACCCTACTGAAGAAGAGCAACCCTTCGTGTCCAAAAGCACCAAAGGTATCCATCGCCAGTGTTAACCACGAGGGAGAAGACCGAACTGAAGACAACACTGATGAAAAAAAGCTCAAGGCAGCCAGAGATGAAGCAAGAGTAGATATCTCTTTAAAGGAAAATATACATCCTTTAAAGAACTCTACCCAAGGGAAAATGCAAGAAAGGCACTTGCTGATTAAACCGAGACGGAATTACAATGAACTGCATGAAAGCCAAATGGATGATTCGAACGCGAATCATGAAAATGTGCACATATCGAATGAGGAGAAATGTGGTGGGAAGGACCCTCTGGTAAGATGTAGCGATTTCTCGAATGGACATCGTATCCCAGCATTTGTTGATCTGAAAAAAGGGGATAGGACTAACCAACCAAATAGAGCATTGCAGTATGAAGGCGAAGAGAAAAAAATTGTCATGCGAAATAATGTGTCTGCGAAAGAGACCCTAAACAATGGCTGCTTCCCCCAAGGGGCAACGCCCGCGTGGAAGGATGAAGCTGTCGTATGTAAAAAATCGAGTAACCAAATAGGTGAAAGGAAAAATAAAGCAATCCCCAACTCGATGGGCGAACTTGCTTTTAAAAAAAGTAGTCTTATGTGTAGGGATAATTTGTTTCAGAATTACAGTTATGCTGTGCGCGGGGGAAATGCCAACATGGATGAGACCAGCGATGCGCCTGAGCGGAAGAACCCAGCCGAGGGGTGCCCCGACCAGCGGAGAGGACCCACGCGTGACGCTCTGAACAAGTACCAACCGATGGATGACCATTGCGTCATTTACAAGAGAGAAAGACATGGTGACAAAAAGATGCCTGAAGAAGATCACACGAACGAAGAGATTCCCTCGAGTCAGTTTGGAAGAAAGGGTTCAAATCGCTTCAACACCCAAGCGGATGCTGACTTGTCTCCACTGCGTAGTAGCTATGCTGATACGAATGAAGCAACCAGCTGCAGGAAGGAAATAAAAATTACACACAAGAACGACCCAGCCTACCCCATGTTGCACATTTCGAACAGAAGTGCCATACATGTGGGAAAGCATGCTAATGTAAAGGCAAATGTGACCCTCATAAATCATGAAAAAAGTATAGCGTCTAACTTAAAAGTGCCAGACAGGCATATTCCCCCGCCCCACGAAAAAGAAGCAAATAGCGTTGTGCGAAATAATACACCAAATAAAGTCAATAATAAAAGTGTACCGAAAAATTTAAATGTCAGTTCGAAGATAAAAAATGATAAAGCGGTGACGTATCTCACGTATGAAGATATTACCGATTTTGAATTCGAAGTGAACACAGAGACGATGCATGACATGATTGAGCAGTTGTTACAAATTACTAAAGACCAGGAATGGACAAAACAAATTGAAAATTTAATTAACCTGAGAAAAATTTTAAAATATTACCACAAATTATTTTTTGATCATCATGCAAAAGAAGTGAGAAAAATAACCAGGTCAATAATTGAGCTTCTAAATAGCCCCCGATCTTGTGTGTCCAAAAATGCTTTACTATGCTTGTCTGAGTTTTACTCCATTGGCAAGAAGAGAATGGATTGTACATTGGATGATGTTATTCTCCCTTGTTTAAAAAAGGCCCACCAGACTTCCACAGACTTTCTGAGCAGTGCTGCGAATAATGCGCTTCTTTCCATATGCAACTCGTGTACGGAGAGCAAGCTTATTTTGCATTTTGTGAAGATAATTACCTCGTAAGGAGTTAAATAGGGGGGCGGACACATGGACAGTTAGCGCAAGGGGGGGGAAAACAAAACCTGCCCAGACGTAACCGACTGAGCAGCAGACCTAATTAGGCGCACTTTTGCGCGTTGCATACATATATAACGCATTCCAAACAAACTGTGTGTTATTTATCCCTTTTTCCTTCCCCTCGCAGAAAGCAAAAAACGTACAACCTCATATGCCTCAAGTGTCTGATCGCTGTCATAATAAAGTTTGAGGATAATATTTCCAAGTTTAAGGAAATTAATAAGCTTATTGAGGCCCTTGTGGAGGTTGGCTTTCTTCGGCGCGCCATAGTTTTTGCCATCGAAGTGAATGTCTTTATCTTCAACCGATGCGCGTGTGCAGGATTGGAGAGCACTTTTTTTTTTTTTTTTCTTATTCTTGCTTTCCTTTTTCTTCCGTATTCTTCTTCAAACCGAGCCACTCACACGAGTTTTAACACATTTCCCCATTTTAGTGTACCGCAGAGGGAAGTGCGGAGATGAAGTGCACTGCCAGGGTGGCCTTGGTCGTTCTGGACAAGTAATGCGCTCGATAGGGGGGACATACAGCTGCCACTCCCCCCAATATGTGCTTACATAAGAAGAAGCGCATGCGAGTGCTGTCCTCGATGGGGATCTATGCGAGCTTTGCTCACGTTGCGTGTATAACTTTTCCCTCCGCCCGCTTCAGCATATGCCCAATCAAGCAAAACGGCAGCAAGTTTCACATTGCCGTGGATAAAATAAAAAAGGTGAGCCGCAAGAGGCATTTAATCATTTGTGCTGTTTATTTTGTGCATACATTTGCGCGTCTTATTTTGCACATATTTGTGCGTATATGTGTTGCACATTTTTTTTTTTGTTTTCGCCGCTTGTATGCGCACAAATCTTGTCCCTCTCCCCCTTTCGCGTGCCAGATCGAAGGCCTAACGGACCGAACGACCGAAAGCGAAATCGACTCCGTGCTGGGGAAAATCAAGTTCAGTTGAGGTCCCTTTTGAAGATGTAGCTTTATGAAGCATGTGTGCGAATGGACAGAGGGGCATATGCGGAAATGGCAAATCAGTTTGCGATATTTTTTTTCTGAACACTTATTAATTTTTTCCTCTTTCTGAACTTGTTTTTTTGTAATTGGCTGTTTGGGCGAGTTTGGCTTTTTTTTTTTTTTTTTTTTTTTTTTAAATCGCGATGTTATTTTCCAGTTTGTATTTTAATTTCCCTTATTTTTTGCTTATTAATTTTGGGCTGCCCATTTGCTACTCATTTTCATGCCCATTTTAAGTATGCCTCAATTTTTTGACCACCCGGGGGAAGCCTAGTTCCTCCTCTTTTTTTACCTGCACGTAGCATTATCATGTTCGTAGTGCAATTTTCTTTTTTTTACACTACATGCTACGCAAAGCAGATTTTTACACAGGCACACTGCGCGCATGGCTTTTGCATTCCCTTTTGGATAATTTCCTTTTTGTGCAACACGTATGATTAATGATTAATGAGCATAAGAATGGTAAAATATATATATATATATATATATTTTTTTTTCTTCTTCCCCTTCTTTGGGTGCACGAGGAACATAAGCGAGGGGAACATCACCCGACTGGGGGTTCGTCCCGAATGATAAAAGCAGGGATGTGAGTGGTTGAACGGGAAAAAAAAAAAAGGGTACTATATATAAATGTGCAAATATATATAGGGTCATATATCCATACCGTGAGTGCACTCCTCTTTGCACACGCTTGCGTGGATATCTCATTAACAATGTTGGACGTCGTTAACATTCGGTCATGCCTGCTTTACAATTTTAAAAAACGTGTTCTTTTTTTTTTTTTTTTTTTTTCATTTCGAACCATTCACATGTTGGTGACGTGCACACATTGGGTGATGTAGCTACCCGCTACATGCTTCGCCCGTTTCTCATTTTTGGGTGACCTATGTTAACCTATTTGGTTGGGGTAAAGAAACTGGTTGTGCGGACAAGCTGATCAGATATACGGCATTGCTATTTGGAAGGACTGCAACGCCATGTGAAGTTTTTCCTTTTTCCCGTGCGATGGTGGCTAATACGATGAGGGGTATAAATATATGTACGTAGAATAAAAGTACATGTAAGAATGGTCACATACGCAGGTGACACGCCTTTTTTTGTATTTTCAATCCATTTGGAGATTAGATTCCCTCATATACTAACATGCATTCCCCACTAGTATGACGTTTCCGCGGATGCCCTTTTGACACACCCAAATGAACTTTGTCTACCATCCTTTACTCTCCCCTTCCCGTGACGAAATTTTCCGTCTGACCATTCAATGAATCATTTGATTAATGTACGTCCCACGACATTGTGGGTGGATCGTTCAACATGTGCATGTCACACACATAAAGAGTTGCGCGCACAAGTTTTAATGATTATTGTTTACGAACAACCGATGGGGTCGCGAAATTTCAATTTCCCCTATGTGCTCAAATTGGAAAAATAACTTAAAAAAATAAAAATTAAGAAATTTTTTATGTAGATAAGATTTTTCCTTTTTTTTTTTTTTTTTTTTTTTTTTTTACGCCCCCGGTGTGGTTTTATACACCAGTTAATTTTTTTTTTTTTTTTTCCCTCTTTGCAACAAAAAAGAAAGGGGAAATTTAAAAAAAATGATTTTTCTTTCTTGTAAACATGACAGTACAAGTTTTGTTTCCCATGTAGAACAATTTCTTTTTTTCAACGTTATAAAATATAACATGTTCTTTTTTTTTTGTGATGGTTCCCCCCCCCAGGTTGGACGTTAAATATAAAAATGGGTCACTTGCGATGACAGGTATATTTTATATTACTACCTTTGCGGGCCGGGCATGAAGCACAGTAGTAACGGTCATCGTAATAAACGCGGCACGCTCTTAATTTACTTGCACAAAAAAAAATATACAAGAACATATATACCCCTACATATAACCTACAACTGTTTTATACGTGGCGCATGGATGGAAGCCCAGTAAATAGGATAATTGCAGCAATGACATAGCATAATATAGTTGTGAGACGGGAAGCCAATGCGCGGGGCATTAAAACCACAGGATGCGAACCGTGACGCAATGACGGACGCAGTGTCATAAACGTATATAGTATATAGTGCAGTATACTTTTCGCCATACGGTTGCGCAGGCATGGGCCAACTGCTTATCCGCAGAAGCACCAGGGAATCGATTCAGTGCCCAACACTCGTAAAAGTAATAAGAAAAAACATATTATCTGCTCGACGCACTTATTTTCTCGCGCAACGTGTATATCCGCAGTGCTGCAAACGGAAAAAAAAAAATTCTTCATGAGCTTCATAAGTGTTTCATTGTTCATCGATTCGTCGATTCATCGCTTAATCAGTTTTATGACCCTTCATAAAGCATCCCCAGAAGTAGTAGTGACAGTCAAGGCGCACTGCTTTTCCGCTTACCGCGCATTGACCAAGTTTGTACCGGTAGGCAAAAAAAATGTACGTGCTGCATGTACCAGAATGGTATACAATAAAAATAAACATATATATAAATTTTTTTTTTCCACATGCATCACTTCCGTTTTGGTACATTCTGTCATTTCTTTGTAGTATACTTGAGCACTCATTAAAAAAAAAAAAAAAAAGCGGCCAACTTTTTTTTTTTTTT